CTTTGCTCGTGTAATAAAACCTTTAATGTCCACAGAAAATATTCATCCAAAAACATGAGAGATAATTTGCATCCATTTCATTAACAAACCTGTGATATGCAGTTCTGATTTTGTGATATGCAGTCCTGATTGAAGGTCACTTTAATGTTTGTATTATATATATATATATATATTTAAATATTAAGTAGGAATAATTTAATGTTTAAATTAAAAAGCTTTTTTTCAAAGTTCTGCTGAAACTTTGTTTTATTCTTTGTACAGTAGGATAGAATAAATACTCATTTAAGATATTTATTTAACTTATGTAAGTTTGTTATAACACTTTGGTACCAAAAGGTCTATAAGCAAAACATGATATTAGCTAAGCTGAAAAAATGTCATTACTTTGGTGATGTAAGAGACAACAACGTTTCAAGGTTTTCTACCTAATGGTTAAGCACTGTTTGGATCCAATAATATAATTTCCCTTTGTAATGAATTGTATTTAGCCAATCAACTACTTGCAGTGGAAATATAGCACAAATAGTTTCAACCACGTGATTTTAAGTAAGCGGTTTTCCTTCACCTTCCCCCTGTCCGTTTTCATATATGTACAAAAATGACGTCATTAAAAGTTTAGTGACTATATAAAGAGATAGATTTCTATGAACCGTGTAGTGTATAAGCCTGAATAGATTCACTTTTCATCATGAAAACTTTGTTCTCCCTTTCCCTAGTGCTAACATTCGGTGAGTGCTTCACTTCTGAAAATGTATTTAACAGACTGCTAATTTTGTGTAGGAATTCTATATAAATTCTACAGAATTACTGTTACAGGTAAACGTAACATTAAAACACTAAAACATTTGTTGATTCAATGTTGATTAATAACCCTCCTACTGTATTTTGAGTGTATTTGGCCAGACACTGATTTCTGTAACGTTATGATGAAATTAAACATAACTCTGAGTATATTATACCGATAATTTGCATTAATTTCTAATATTTAACACAAAAAAGTAAAAGCTATGAAAAGAAAAACATTTTATCTATTGAAAGCTGTTTTATTTTGTTTGAAATGACCCAACAGATAACATAATAGGAGGGTTATGAAATATCGAACTCTTGTTCGGTGTTCTTTGTATTAAGCAGTGAAGTTTGTTACTGCGGGCACAGGTAAGTGTGGCCTAGATCTCGCAATTATCTATACGTGCTTAATAAAACTGGGTACGAAAGTTAGCTTGTTACGTAAGAAAAGGGCATAGCTGTATGACAGTTGAAGATTGCTGTCCTACTCTCACTTCGAGGTCACTAGGTTCTGTTACACAGATATCATCAATTACTAAATAAACAGTTCATACCAGAGTCGTCAATACATGTTCCTGTCCCATTTGCTGTAAGAAACTTGAGGCTATACAAGTTTTTTCACATGTTTATATGAGTAACTTCATACATTTTAGTCATTGCCCTAGTTTGTTTTTCACTCGTTGTTTTTATGCAAGAATTTGCCAGTTGATTGCTTTAGATGCTTACTCAGAATAATGATATTACTATTTTAATGTCTTAACCCCACTGTTTTTAATCATATAAGGATTAATTTTGCTCTTTTCATTTACTAGGTAGAAATAACTAATTTATATCCATAGTTAATTATAATAATTTAAACAAATATACATGTATTTCAACTATATTATATGGTTTAGTCATAAGTATTAGTCTCAAAACGAGACCTTGTTATTCTACAATGCAAACTAGAAATTAACAATTTAATCACTACTTTTTGATATGCCATGGTAAGATCAGTAGTTTTAACGAAAAATTCACATTTGATAAAACAAGGGCAAACGTGTTCAAATATTGCTTCTTATTTTCTTTCTTCCAGTATTTTAAATTTCACTATCTTTATTATTAAGTTTCTGCAGAAAAATAATAACCTAAATCCTAAATAAAAGATATTATGTCACCACTGAACATTGCTATCTTATAAATCCTTGGTGTGTAGCGAGAGTTTACTTCTAATTTTAAATTTGGTTCTACTCTTCCCCCTCTATAACTATTTGATTATTCACACGAAAAATATGATTTTGGAAAAAAAATCAAAGTACGGTTTAGCTTATATAACGATTATCTATAATTATCTACACTGTCGTTGATATTGCTGAATTTGGAAGGTTTTCACTCACACTTAAGTTTTCCTGGATCAGTCTGTAGCTTATTAAATTAAACTACCGTTGTTTTCCACAGCCGCTTACCAAGTTTATTGTAAGGATTGTCACATGAGGGAGCTGGATTTGTGTGCATCCACACTCCTGCTGTTTAATCAAGATGACGGAATTGCCCAAACAGAAGCCGATTTGAACAAACAGTGCACGTGAGTATTATTCTTTGTTTTATCAACAACTCAGTTGTACATAAAAAAATTGTGTAAATATGTAGGAATTGAAATAACTGTTTTAAGCACTGTTGGTGTAATAAGGTAGTGTATCATTAAGCATCATCGAGTGCTAATTCATGGATGTACAACACTTGTATATCCCTGACATGTTAACATGAAAACAGTTTAAATCTTCTGGATAATTGACTTAGTCCCATTTTTTTTCACAACCTATGACTCAAATCGTTTTACATTTTTTCTTCTATTTTTTTCAGTTATATCCGAGAAGTATATCAGTGCCTGAAAAACTATACAATAAACTGCATGACACAAGTTCAACGTGAGCTCGTTGGGTTTTTTAGCGAAGGCTCTGAGAAACTGATGAATGACTATTGTACTCCTGGGTCCAGTATACGAAACGGTACGTTGTTAGTGTTCTTACGTAGCACTACTAAGACGATTGAGCAGAAGATAGTATATGTCTTACGTTATAAAACAAACATTGGAAGAGAAATGAAATTACAAAGTGCATTTTTCAAAAAATGCTAATGATACTTTTATGTAAAGATAATATTAAGTTTGGATTATAAATTTCTAGTGATGTTGTACGTCGAATTATGAACGCATAATACTTGAATTAATTGTAGTTTTGTTTTAGTTCTAGTTTGCAAGCACTAAATGGCTAATTCTAAACATTTAAGAATGAATCATATTTGTTTCCTTGTTGCGATATTTCATTGTTGATATAGTTGCTAATCGTGTTTCGTGATTGTAAATATATATTTTCAGATTATCTTAAGAACGCTCCTTGTTTGAACAGTGCGAATGATGAAAATATAAAATGTCTTCGAGATCTACAGGTCGCTTTAGAAGTCGTTGGGGATGCAAAATTTGAAAACCGTATTCCCATCGCTTGCTGGTAAGATTCTTCTTATTTGATATAAAAACTTAATTGCCGTTTTGGAAGTTCGGATTTTTGTTTATGTACTAGGATAAGAAGCAAATATAGGTAAGCTTCACGTGCAACGTTATAAGTACAGAAAAATTAAAACTAAAAACATGATAGAAACAAATAATGAATGACATGAAATATCCATTTGAAAAGTACGCTGTGCTATCACCAAACACTACACAACAAACCGTGTGTTTCGCTATTTACAATGTTAACTCTCCAAATATTTTCAAAGCTCTTAAGTCCTAGCATTATCATTAACTTTTGATACGCCATTTTATTTGTCAACGAGACTACCCTTGTCGTATTAATTACAATATCATATTAGACAATATATATATATCAATGGCAGTTTTTACTTTTGCAATTCTTTATTTTTAACTTACTTAACCTGATATGCAATGTATGTATTTCAAAATTAAATGCCAGATAACTGGTAAAATTTGAGTACAGCGCAAGTGGTTAGTTTTAGGGTGTGTTATCAATTATTTATTAGTTAACACAATGTGTAAAATAATTTTTGTAATTATTCAAAAACACTAATTCTTTCTTATGAATTTACACTGTTTCAATTTATCAGTGCCTACCGCCGATACGAGGCCTGCTTCCAAGAAAGACTGGAGAAAAAATGTGGCAAAAATGCTGTTGAATTCATCCAAGAACTTCTGCGAATAGCAATTTCCCGTGTTCCGGAAATAATCTGCACAGGTTACGGACGAAACAACAGCGAGTGCACCACTCTACTCCCTAGTTCTGGCAGTAGTCCTAAAGGATCACAGTCTAACTCTGCATTGTCCCGTTTACTATCCACCTACTTAGCTACTATTTAAAACAACCAGGAATTTTTAGCTTTCTATGATGCAGAAGCTTTTATTGTTGACATGAAGGTTCAGATTATATATTTAGAAAATATATTTCCCACTAAGTATTTTATTGTTTTTTTAACTGTATATTTTAACTCTATTGTTATGCTGGTTATATCAACCATCTCAATAAAAGTTATTGTTGTTAAATGACTCGGGCCTCTATTAAACAATGCAGTATGAAATATTGACCTACATTTATTTTGGGAATATATTTATCAATACATGTCAATAAATCTGTGGATTTCAAGAGAAGAGGTAAACTGATTTTACCCCTTAGGACTAGTAAAACCATATTAATGATGTTGGTTGTGAAGTTTCGCGCAAAAGCTACTCAAGGGCTAACTGCTCTTGCCGTCCCTAATTTTGAATTGATAAATTATATGGAAGGTAACCAGTCAGCACCATTCACCATCAACTCGTTGGCAACCCTGGTCCAATAGTAGAATTTGACCGTCACTTTTATAATGCACCCACGGCCCCAGAGTACAGAGCACAATTTTGTTTTTGATTGTTTTTAAATTTCGCGCAAAGCTACACGAGGGCTATCTGTGTTAGCCGTCCCTAATTTAGCAGCGAAAGACTCGAGAGAAGGCAGCTAAAGTCATCACCACCCACCGCCAATTCTTGGGCTAGTCTTTTACCAACGAATAGTGGGACTGACCGTCACATTATAACGCACCCACGGCTGAAAGGGCGAGCATG